TGCCCCGACCCGTACTCACCTCCTTCAGCCTCGCCACGGCGTCTCCCACCTCCGGGTGCCCCAGCCTGTCCTCCGTCAGGTCGCGGACGAYCTGCGGGAAGAAAGCGGCGAACTCCTCTCGCTCGGCCGCTGCCCGCGCCCCGGGGCCGCCGCTGCCGTTCATGGCACCGCTGCCGTTCATGGTGCCGGTTCACGATCCCGCCGMWSCYKCCCACGACCTCCACGGCCCCGCYGGCCCCGCCCCCGCCSCRCTGRCCCCGCCCCCTRCGCGGGGCACGCCGGGACGCGCAGTCCCGAGACGCGGGCGCGGGCGCTGCCGGAGCCACCGCTGGACTACAACTCCCAGCGTGCCCCGCGCCCGGGGCGGGGTCAGCAGGGCTGCGGCTGGAGCAGCGCCCATTGGTCCGTTCTATCGCGCGAGGATGAGCCCAAGGAGGATAAGCCAATAGGAGCGCGGCGGGGGCGGGATTGAGGCGGGTGATTGGTGGAGAGGGAGGATGGAGCGAGCGCGCGGCCGGCGTGCGGGGGCGGGGCGTGGCCAGGGGGCGTGGCCAGGGGGCGTGGCCAGGGGGCGTGGTATGGCCAGGGGCGGGGCGCGACCGGGGGCGTGGCGTGACCAGGGGGCGTGGCCGGTAACCGGGAGGTGAATGGGGGGCGATCGGGATGCGCTGGATTTGGGGAGAAAAAATGGGGGTGTGGAAAGCAGTGTGGGGTGGCCTGTGGGGTTGCTGGCAGGTTTGGGGCGCTGTGCAGGTGTGGGGTGTGCTGCAGGTGTGGGGTACCACGGGGCTGTGGATGTGGCACAGGTGTGGGGTGCAGCACAGGTATGGGGTGTAGCACAGGTATGGGGTGCAGAGCAGTTATGGGGTGCAGAGAAGGTGTGGGGTGTGCTGCAGGTGTGGGTCACTGTGCAGGTGTGGGGTGTGCTGCAGGTGTGGGTGCAGAGCAGTTATGGGGTACAGAGCAGTTATGGGGTACAGAACAGGTGTGGGGTGCAGCACAGGTGTGGGGTGCAGCACAGGTGTGGGGTGCAGCACAGGTATGGGGTGCAGAGCAGTTATGGGGTACAGAG